CTCCTCATCAACCAGCACCGTACACCGGTCAGTTCCACGTGGTGCACCTCACACAAGGGCGTCTTCAATTTTGCAGCTCGCGCTGGATACACGGTCGAACAGGCTCAGAGTGTCTGAGCAGGTTTCACCGGCCATAGGCTGCAATGGCGGTGCGGGTGGTCGGTACGACGACGCAACGGTGGTGCCTAAGGCGTACAACGACGACGTCAATTCGTGGGGCTTCTGCGTCACCTCGTCGCTCTCCTCGTCATCGCGCAGCAGCGCCTCCAGCCCACCACGCCGCGGCTCGCGCAGCTCCTGCCAGTGGCGGTCCTCCGCGTACCACACAACGACGCCGTACACAGTGTTTGCTAGCAGCACAGTGGTCAGCAGCAGCACGGTAGCCACGTACGCCCTCGCACCGCCGTCGCTCGGCGCAAGGTGGTTGGCCGCGCTCACCAGGCACAGCGCCGCAAGGAGCACAAAGCTCGCCGTGCGCATCACCGTCAGGAAGGCCGAGCGCATCATGTTCGTGAAGGCAACCACGCCCGCGCCCGCAAGCAGCACAGCCGCCATGCAGAAGTACTGGACGTCGCAGCCTCCCACGGGCGGGTCCACAGCCGCAATCAGGCACACCACGCACAGCACCGACAGCTGGAATACGCACCAGTACACGTGGCTGCCTCTCATGTTCGTCAGCATGCCGCCGTACATCCGCTGCTGCGCTACGGGGTGCCAATACCCGACGGGGTACAGCAGGCGCTCGTGCAGCGGCTTCCTCGAAAACTGCCAGTACTTCGTGAAGCTCGCGCCCACGTGGCAGGCAATAAAGTAGCACACGCCAGCAGGGAACGCCACTCCGTACAGCACGCCAACGACACCAATCACGCGGTGCTGCACGCGGGCGTCGGGCATCGCCAGTGCGGACACCGAGCCGAAGAAGATGCCGAGGTGCATCGCGTGCGCCATGACGTACGTCAGGCTCGGGAAGCGCATCGCAGCCCACGCACTCGCCGCGTCAACGCCGCGCCACCGCTGGAAGGCCGCCGTCACACCGTAGTGCACGCACCCGAACACAGCGGCAAGCAGCGCGTTGCCCACCACCATCCACAGCGGATCAAGGGCAGCGAACACCGACAGGAAGTACGGCAGCGCAACGGTGCTCGCACGCTCCTGCGCCGAGGCACATGGCACCCTCGCAAACACGCCGAGTGCCTGCATCAGCAGGACGGAGCTCAGCCCGCCGGTCACCACCACGGCAACAGCCGCCGCACCCGCAACAACGCCGGTGATCGCAGAGAGGGCGCTGGCAGCGGCGGGCAGTGTGTTCGACCTGATCGTGAAGGACCCAAGCAGCACACCCTTGCAGCCGCCGGACACAGCCACAGCGTCGCAGCGAATGACTATCGTCTCGTCGGCACCAATAAAGTAACCGCGGTGCACGGGCACAGCCAGCTCCAGGACGGTGAAAGGATTCGTCGCGTTGCGCACCCACATCGCGTTGCGCAGCATTGCTCCCCACGGACCACCAAACCCACGCGGCTGCGCCGCCGACACCGGCACGAAGCTCAGGTGCGTGCTGAGCTGCGGGTCGCGTGCCCAACGAAACGGTGGCGGCAGCGCCACCATCAGCAGCGTCGGGACGGCGCTCCCACCGCCGCGGATGTCGTTCAGCGTCAGGCTCCCACCAGCCGCCGTCGTCGTCACAGAAAGCGTCGGGCACGCCACGTCGCTCCACCACAGCGTGCTGCTCACCGACGCCGTCGGGGTCCGCGTGGGCGACAGCGCCACCGTCTCCGTAATTTGCAGGGTCTCCTTCGGACTGTACTGCGTCAGACTGTAGTGCTCGGTGCTAAGGCTCGGAGTCCCCGTTGGTGTCGGGCTGCGCGTCTCCGTCAGCGTCTCCGTGTGGCTCAGCAGTGGCTTGGCGGGTGTGCGGTTGCACCCGTCCACGTGCGGCAGGTACACCGGCAGGCAGTCGCGCCCGTACCCGCCCTCAGCACAGCGGCAGCCGCACGACCCCGACATCGCCCTCGTCGCAGCAGCAAAGCAGTGCACGTCGGCGTCGCACACGCTGCACGCCACGGGGCGGAATTCCCCGATGATGCCGGCGGACCTGTAGTCCATCGGCCGCAGCGCCTGCCCGTTGAGCGTCAGGCATCCCACGACGAACTTTCGGCCGGCGCCCCCAAGCGCAACGGTGCCGTCCATCACGACGGGCCCACTGCCAGCGTTCCCGTGAAGCGTCAGCGTGCTCTGCACGAGTTCCGCACGGCGCGGGTACGACGGCACCGACAGAAGCCTGCCGCTGATGCTGTTGCCGCGCACCGACAGCCACGACCCGGACACAAACGACGCCGACCCCCGCAGCACCAGCAGCGCGCCATCGGTCAGTGCACCGGCGTTGTCGTTCACTACGACGGCGGACGCGTTGGCCTCCACCCCGCTGTCGAACACCAATCCATGCGCGGCGTACACCTGGCTCCCCGACACACGCAGCACAGCGCCCCCCGACGCAACCACACGCGCACTCGCGTACAATGCAGCGTCGCCACCGAGCACAGCCGCGTCCAGCGCGACGCCGCCACCGACAAGCTCCAGCACCGCGCCGTCCACCACCACCGTCCGCCCACCAGTCATCACGGTCACGAGGGCCACGCCGGACACAACCAGCACGGACCGCACGAGCCGCAGGCCCGACAGCACAAGCACCGGTGCGTACGGCGAGGACTGCGAGCCGGGAAGATACAGAAGCGGCGTCGACCTCGCGGCAACCAGCAGGGAGTCGGTCACCGTCAGCACGGACCCCGCGGGAAACGTGCCGGTCAGCACAAGCGCACCGTTCAGCGCCTCCACATCGCACACGGACAGCTCCACCGGCCCGCTCTCGTCGCTCCCCGCCGCCCCCGCATCGCGCAGCGCTCCACCGCCCATCACGTACAGCACGGCGCCGTTCAGCAGTGACACGTTCTGCACAACAATCCGCACGCCGTCTCGCGCCATCCACGGCACGTAGAGCACCGGACTCACGCCGTCCAGCACAACGTGGCGCAGCGTCACCTCGCTCGCGCCGGCAGGCACAACGAACACCGACTGCACCGTCACACCCTCGCGGAAAAAAACACTCAGCACAGTGCCCACGGCAGGCGGCAGTGCGGGAGCTCCCACAGGCACGCACGCCTCGCCGTACCCGCCACTGCCGCACGCGCACACGCACACACCGGTTCCTCATGTTCGCCAACGCCGTCCCGGGCTCGTAGCAGTGCGTGTCCCTGTCGCAGGTGTCGCATCCAAAAAATTCGATGCTCCCAGCGTCGCCAAAACCAGCCGCTGCGTACTCCTCCGCCGTTGACAGGACTCGCCCACCAGCGTCGTTGCACGCCACCCTCACATGCGCCCCATCCGCAAGCAACAGGCCCGCCGACAGCATCCGCGGCAGCAGCGCTCGGTTGCGCACAAAGCTCAGCGTGCTCCCAGCAGCGGTCACGGCGCCAGCCGCGTGGAGCATCTCCCTCGAGACGCCGTCGTGCACGTTGCCCTTCGCCAGCAGCATCGACCCGCCGGCAAGGCTCACCGTCGAATCAAACGCCACCGCGTAGTCTCCCGTCGACAAAAAGCCACTCCGCACAAGCGCCACAACGGAGCCCGACACGCGCACAGCCCCACGCACAGAAACTGCGTGTTTGCACAGCAGGAAGTCGCTGTCAACAAACGCCACGACGGAGCCGCCACTCGCCGCAACACCGCCCTCCACCGACACACACAGCCCCAGCGCCGTCTGCACCGAAAGCCCGTCCATGTACAGCGCACCGCGCGACGACAGCGCCACGCCGCCAACCACCAACACACCAACAGCGTCGCGGAACACCGCCGCCACATGCGTGCGCGCAATGGTCAACACGCTCCCAGTCAGATTCACGTTGTGCACCACAAGGCACGCGGAGACGTCGCCAAGGTCGTAGGCGTTACGGTACGCAACACGCCTCTCTGCGATCAGCACCGAGTCCACCACAGTGACGCGCGAGCCCGGCGGAAATTGGTTCGCCACCAACACGCCGCCGCCGGAGCGCGATTCAAGCCCGCTGATCAACACATCGACGCGCTCGCCAGCAGACGGGTCGGATCGCCAGCCAACAACATACAGGCTCGCTCCGCCCACAAAAGTGCAGTTCGCCAGCGTCACGTTGCGCACGCTCCCTGACATCGACTCCACGTCCACCACGACGTCCGCCGCAAAGGTCACGCCAACGTAGCACACCACCGACGTCCCGAGACCGGCGTTCAACTCCGCGTCCACACGCACGTCCCGCACGCACAAGTCGGCGCCGTCGGTGCTCGGTGGGTCAGGAACAGCAACGGGCAGGCACGCATCGCCGTGGCCGCCCTCAGCACACCTGCAGGCGCAGCCATCACTCGAGGCCGTCGTCGTGTACGCGGGGAAGCACGATGTCGCGAGGGTGCATGGGTCGCTGCAGGTCAGGATGGTGGCGTTGTACGCGGACGGAATGCTGTAGTTCGCCCTCTCCTCGCCGTTCACAGTGTTGCACGCAGCCACAATCGCTCCGTTTGTGAGATATTGGAACCTTTTGGGTATCTGCAGCAATGTCGGCGTGCCAGTGCTGGACATGAATCGGTTGCCGGACACAGACACCGTGGAGTCGCGGAGATTCACCGCTGGCCTCACGACAGCAAAAGCATCCGATGGGGATACGTGGCAGAGGTTGCCGCTCAACTGAAGCCAGGAGTTGTAGTAAATATAGGAATAAAAGCCTGATAAAAATGCAGCCACACTTCCCCGCATGTCGTTGCCCTGAAACACAACCGCTGACCGAGACCCCACACGTAATGCCCAAGGCAAGTACAGGAAGCA